TGAGGTGGCAACCTCCTACACTTGGAGAATGTGCGCAGGCTCAGGTCTCAGCCAAAAGAATAAACCCCAAAGCAGTATTAAAAATGGATGAAGGAGCTTCAGCTGCAGCAGCAACAGTAGCTCCAGCAAAGGATGCAAGAGGAACAGCAGAGCTTTATTCTGCTGCTGCTTCTGCTGCTACTACTGTAGCAAGTAAAACCCAGTCTGGAAGGCAGTAAGGCACCCCAGACCCAGATGAATGCAAGGGGTGACTGAGGTATATCAGTGGCCTCATGATTATGGATTGCTAGGTTAGCACCCTATTTAATTGGGGAACCCCAGACAACCTATTAGGCCTGGGGAGCTAAGGCTGCATGCACCTATGCTACCCTGAAGTCGACCATTTTGGACCATGTGGGAGCAAAACTTACAATGTAATTCAGAGTATTTCTTTTGGGAGAAAATGTTGATGTTCCTAAATGACAAAGGCAGACAAGGTTCTTTGGGTGAATCTGATATCTGTGATATCAGAAATCTGTGATATATAGCCAAGCCCTCAGATACCACTGAATTTGCACTGAGAAGAACACCCAAGATTGCCACCTCACTAATCTTAAAAAGGCTTTCACTCAATAAGGACATTGCTCCAGAGAGATGGACTGCATGTTTGAAAGAGCCACCCAGATACCACATGAAGAATTGCTGCAGTACAGAAGAAACACCACCCCCCCAACAAATTGCACACTGCTGGTTATGACATATCACCCTGCCCCCATCCCCTTCCTAGCTTCTCTCCATCTTCTGTTTTGCTTGCTATGTTTTTATGGAAACAATTAAGCAGGAAGCTTTTTGAGCTTTGAAGGGAGGTGGTTTCCTTTGGGCTACTTGGCTTTACCCCTTTTGCACTTATCCAGGCCCTGATTCTCTTGGCCAGGGCCTGATTTGTTCTAGCTGCTCCCTTCAGCCCTGGACCCTGTTGGTGCAGCCTCAGCTCTCTGGTAGCAGCACAGCACAGCTGGGAATTGGATTCCACAGTAAAGCTCTGGCCCTCCCTGTCTCCCTATCTCTCAAACTGTGACCCCGTCTCCCCCCACCCTTCAAGGCATATGATGACCAGGGACCTTGGTTTTCTCTGATGGGAAAAAACCCCAAATTAACATTTTTTCCGCATTTAAAATGAAACCTGCTATATACAAGTATAGGTATCAGTGGAGCAGATTGATATTTACAATTTTAAAGGAATTTTGGGAGCTTTCCAGTGCCTCCATCATTATAATAAAAATACCAAAATCAAAAGCCAAAATATATAGGCGTTTAGAATTTATTTTATCATGGAAAATCAGAATTCTCCCTGCCCACTTGTTCACCAGGATGTGGGTCCAGTTGCAACTGTTGCCGCTGCTGCTTTGTGATGCTGAGCAGCCCTGATATACCAGTCAGCCCTCCGTGAGCGTATGTCAGCCCAGAGCTCCGCAGGGGGACCACGCCGGCGGACCAGGACGGGTGGGAGCCCATGCTGTTGCTCCTCACTCCAAAGCCACAGCCCCCCTAGCCTTAGCAGTGCCCCTCACTCCTGACCTATAGCCCCCTGCCACTTCAGCCCTGCCAGAGAGGGCCCCCAGCTTCCAGAGCTACAGGACCTGCTGGCTGCATCTTGTCTGCTCCCTGCTCTGTGCCCCCTGGGCACCAGCTACAGTCCACCAGCAGTGCCTGAGCCCTGTCTGCTGTGCATGGGAGGTGGTGACTACTGTGGTTAGAGGGAGGAGTGCAGAGCACAACCAGACTAGAGCCTGTGGGGGTGGGGGGAGGAGGCAGGCTGGCTCTTGCGGGGCTTGAGGCTCCCTGCCTTGCTGCCCCCCCCCCCCCCCCCCGGGGGCCCCCCCCCCCCCGGGGGGGGGGCCCGGGGGGGGGGGGGGGGGGGGGGGCTTTTGGGGGGTTTGGGTCCCCCCCCTTGGGCCCCCCCCCCCCCCCCCAGGGGCCACTGCAGCCCAGTGGGTGGGACCTGATGCGGTAGGGTGGAGCAGGACGGGGAAACTCGATGCTACTGGGAACCCTGTGTCAGCTGTGCTGCCATGGTGAGATGACTCCTGGCCACCCAACAGCAGTGGGGGCAGTGGTGAGGAGTTGTATCGCCATGCTGCAGCTGGGCAGGCAGGAGGTGCCTCATCTTGGCAGCATGGCTGGCACAAGGCTCCTAGCAGCAGTGGGGGGGGCAGCACCAAGCCTTCCCACCCTGCCCCACCCTCCTGCTCCAGGTCCCATCCACTGGGCTGTGAAGGTGGCTGGTGCCTGCTGCTGGTCCGGCTATGCTGCAGCCCCATGGCCTGCTGTCCATTCAGAAGTCTGTGGGGGGTGTCCCGCTACTCCTCCCTCTAACACTTCGCCAGTGGGTGTGCCTGGATGGTCACCAAACCCTGGGCCTCCTTCCCCCCACCCCCAGCTCCCCACTATCACTGCCCCAAGATCCTGGGGTCTCCCCAGCCCTGCCTGCCTGTCTCGCTCCCAAATGCCACTCCCCACCAGCCTGCAACTCCATCCTAGCTGCCTGTCCGAGCACCCTGTCTGCATGGGTCTTGCAGGGCTGGGTCCAGTGGCAGCTGGAAGGAGCTACTATTTCCAGGGCTGCTGGGAAATGAAGTCCAGCTGCCACACTGCCCCAGGCCTGGGGCACATGCACCATGGCCTTGGCTGCCCCTCATGCCTGGGCTAGGTGGGATCTACTGTGGGCCAGGGAAAATCCCTCTGGTCTGGGTGTGGCCCGTTGGCCATATCTTGCCCACTCCTGCTCTAGGTATACCTTGTTTAATGCTCCTCCTAAAGCAGTGGTTCTCAACATTTTTAGATCCAGGGCACCTCAGTAGACTCAAGGTACCCCTCAGAAAATGCCAGCTCTTAGTTTGGCCAATGTTTGTTTTTTTTACCATAGAAAAATAATAGAGCAGTTCTTCTGTTGCAGAAAACTTGGAAAAAAGCACAGCAAGTCAGCATGGGTTTTTGCTTTGCATTTAACACTGAACTCCCATTTGAAATCTGGGTTGATTTTCATCTCAGCTGTATTACCTGTCCATTTTGGCTTTGGAGGCCTATAACTATGTCTGTGGTATAGCCACAGCCAAACCAGCATTCTCGACCAACAAAATCCAGTCGTACACATGAAACGTACATGCACGAGAAACAGAACATAGAGGGGTCACTTGAACCTCTTGTCATAAGGCTATCTTTAAGCTGTAGTTTGTTGCTTTGCTCCAAAAATTAACTATCTTCCAGTTAGCTCCCTCCCTTCTGATCCGTAGCCTGTTTGCCATTTCAGGGATATGGTTACTGTTTGCAATTCCAGTGAATATGTGGCTGAAGCACTGGAGCTTCCTAACTTCCAGGACTGTGTGAAGAAGTGCAAAGAGAACCTGCAGGCTGAACCAGTCACGTTGGGTGAGGAAAGTGCTCAACGCCATCTGAAATGACCACGTGCTTTGATTTAATTGGCAAATGGGCCTGGTTTTACATGGGAGGAGGGACAGGCTTACGCGAGTGTTCTGAAGGAATAGTGTCACCATGAAATAGTCTAGTTAGCCTTCAGGTTAATGAACCCTACGTAGTATTAGGGCTGCTTTGAATGGCTTGCTTAACCCAGAACGTGGGGTGGAATTGTTCATCGTCTCTGTGCTTACTAGTGAGTGTGGCATAAGGCAGTTGTTGCTTTGAGGTGGCTAGTGTTGTGTTTCTACCACTGTAGGGGAGAGTTTAAACACAAGCCAACTGAAGCTTGGTTTTGCTTTTAACTCTGTGTTCAGAGCAGTGAAAATAAATAAGAGTCCAAATCAGATGCTGGAGAGGTTAACGACTGACTTACAACAGGTCTCTTCTTGAATGTCCAGCTCAGGTCATCTGGCTTCACCTCCATTAGAAGTGACGCTCCCATATCAGAATACAGCCATATCAGTCTGTGTGCGTTTGTTTTTTCTGTGTGTGTACCAGAGCCATCTGTAGTAAAAACAGGTGGATTGGAGGATGGGCTGTTAAAAGGGCTGGGTCCCTTTCTGTGGCATAGCTACTGTCTGTCACTGGTTTTGACTAGCTACATTTGTTCATATGTATATATGAATAAAGGTGCACCAATACATTAGTCCATATCATATCAGCCTTGATAAAATGAAAATTGACATTATCAGCAATCAGCTTTTTTGGCTGATATGGCTGATTGATGTTGCCAGTAAATGCCATGTGCATGGGTGCGGCTGTGGCATGCACATGGCCAGGTTGCAGCCCAGCAGCCTGGAGAGCAGCATCTAGCTGATAAGTCTGGTGGGAAGGGTTGTCAGGGGTTGAGGGGCAGATCGAGTCCCCTGTGGTGAGGGGGAGTGAGTGGGGCTGAGGCAAGGGTAGGTGCTGCCAGCTGGGGTGGGGCAGGGCATGGGACAGAGCTGTGAGCTGCTTATTCAGGAGGCCTGGGGGTGGATGGGTGGCTCCCATTGCTGTGTGCACCCTCGGGGGGAGGCATGGGGACAGTGTGCTTCCCCCTTCCCTGATCTGTGCACAGGGTGAGGGTGGACTGCAGCTGTGGGCTGGGGGTGGTGCTGGACTTTTTCCGGTAGGGGGATTGGCCTGGGACTGTGCTCAGGGAGGGAGGGGGGCTATGGCCAGGCTGACTGTAGCTTCTCCCCTGTAGCTCCCGTCTCAGTGCCTTCACCTGCCCCGAGCATGGCCCCAGCCTAACACCCGCTCTGGGAAGAGCCTGGTGCCACCCTCACCCTTTGCACAGATCTGGGGGGCATGCCCCCTATACCTCCCCAAGGGGTGCACGCAGCAGCTGGAGCTGCCCCACCCCCGCACCCCATGGATGAGCCACCTGCTACATCCTCACTCAGCCCCACTCCCTCTCACCACAGAGGCGTCAATCTGTCTCCTCCCCTTCTTCACAGACTTACTGGCCAGATGCTGCTCTCTAAGCTGCCAGGCTGCATATCAGCAGTCAGATTAGTATCAGCTGATATGTCTGGTCATTAATCAGCTGTCGGTATCAGCTCCAAAAATCTTTATCGGTGCACACCTGTATGTGAATCCAGGTGTTCTGCTTCCACTTCCCAGAGAATTCTGTCCCTTCTTCCCCATCCCCTTCTAGTAATGATCCTGTGGAGAATCTGTAGGCTGATACTTCCCAGGACCTGTATGCTGGCTAAATTCTAATGCTTAAGTGGACTTTTAAATTTGGATTAGAGGCAAATTTACTATAGTGTGGGTTGCTCTTACTATCACTAATGCCAAGTATGTTTTATACCTTCTCTAGGAAGAGTAGAAGATTATCCAGAAATCGTGTTCTTAGGAACAGGCTCTGCAGTCCCAATGAAAACTCGGAATGTTAGCTCCACCTTGATAAATACCAGGTGAATTTCTTCTCAAGAAACATGCAGAAATTGGAGGAGGAGGTCACTTGGGTTTTCTGGAAGTTACACTAGAGATAGGCCAGTGTGTAAAATACTAGCCAATTGCCCGTCAAGAATGACAGGGGGGAGGGGCTGGGATGGAGTGCCGCCACCTAACGTCCTATGCTGCTGCTGCTGCTGTTCTACCTCTTGCAGGGAGCAGGGTGGGGAAGCCAAGGTCAGCTCCGCACCCTCCATCCAGTCCTCAGTGCAGCTTTGGTATCATGGCGGCTCTCCCCCATGCTTGGAGAAATTTGATTGATTAGCTGTTTCCATCAGCCAATCAGAGTGCAAATAAAGCAAGATAGATGGACAGGCAGACTTAGGCTTTTATAATATTAGAATACCTATTGGAATAGAAGTACTGTTTCAGAGTACTTAAGCCATTTCCAGCCTCCCTTTGGAAGTTCATTAAGAGCTTCTTTCTACATGGCATCATTTGTTTCCTCACATTGACAGCCTCACTGCAGAGAACAAGAACTAAATGGACTATAAAAACTGAACTGTTTTTGATTTTAGCTCCTCTGTTTTTTTCCTGAAGAGAAGTGGCATTAGGGGCAGAAGTGCTGTGAGTGTGCTGACTCTTACCACATGGTCTGGAACACTTGCCCTTTCTGAACTGAAATGTCAGACAGAGTTCATCTGTTTCTCATTGGCTCCTGCCAAAAACACACCTGCTCTTTCTCTTGGCAGCTCTACCCAATCCCTGCTCTTGGACTGTGGAGAAGGAACATTTGGCCAGCTCTGCCGCCATTATGGAGAGGAGATTGACAATGTCCTTTGTAACATAGAAGCTGTGTTTGTGTCTCATTTACATGCTGACCATCATACAGTGAGTTTTTTGCAAGAAAACTTTGCCCGAGTTGTTGTGTGGTGTGTGTGCATGTTACTATTGCAGCAGCAGCTTATGTCAGGTTCTCTGAAGTTTGCTCCTTGTTTCCTTTTGTTTGAGGTGTCTTTTCCTTTGTTATTGTTTTTTTTGTAACTGTTCCAGTGCTTGCAGCCAGTGTGTTGCCTTTCTCTGCCACTGAGAATTGTGATCATCATTTTTTCAGATGTTAATTTTAACCATCTAGTGGTATTGGACTGTCCTATTGCAGTACTTGCTGCCACTGTTTCTGGTGCTGTTTAGAGACTTCAGTTGTGATGAGAGGTAGTATCCACACTCTTTATAGCTTGGAATTTGCTTGTACAAAAAGCTTCAACCTACTGACAGGCTAACTTGCTTTACTGTGGGTGTAATACTGTGCCCAGATTTACCCAAATCCAAAATGACTTCAGCTCCCCCCATAATTATTTCCATAATTCATGGAAAATTATAACAACTTATAAAATCGAATTATAGGAAGGGGTCATCTCTCTGGCACACTGGTGACCTCCGCACCTCAACTGCCAAACAGCCTGTTTCAAATACCAGACCAAACACCTGGTCTTGAAATCATACGTTTATATCACTAGTGGGCTTACTTTTAATAAATAACCTGCCACCTCCCTGACCAGTGTATTGGTTTATGACTGTAGCCCACTGTTACTCACAGGGCCTCAGTTAACCTGCTTTCACAATTCAATGGGCCTCATTTAGCCTTAATTCAGTAACTGGGTAGGGAACTCCTATCACAGGTTTCCCTTAGTGCTCTGCTCTCTCTCCTGCTTACTCAATCAGGGACAGTTCAGGTTTCACCACAACGTTGATTAGTGCCTGAGAAATGAGCTCTGTTACGGCAGCCTTTTCATGTGAGTTTATTACATATTGATGGCTTTGTCAGATATTTACTCTGAACCCTCTCTTCTAGGGCTTGTTGAAGATTCTACTAGAGAGACATCAAGCTTTTGTAAGTACTGCTGATATTTAAAGTGTCAGGCCAAGCTCAGAATAGTGCTTTGTGGGATAGAGCTGTACCTTATTCTCCCCATGCTGAGTTTTGCTCTCTGTCTGACTTACGAAACTCTTCTATTACTGATTGGCTTTTTCAGGCATCCCTGGGCCGATCACCCAGGCCGCTGTTTCTGATTGCTCCCCTACAGCTCATGACGTGGCTGAGCCAGTACCATGACCACTGCCAACACATTCTTGGTCATTTCAAGTGAGTGTATTCCTGGCTAATTACAGGTAGTGGGAAGTACTCTAAATACACTCATTCATCTTTGTCAGAAAAAATTGTTGCCTCTCCACACGGCAGCATGATCTGTATATGGGCCATGTGCTGCTTTTATTTTTCTGATTAACATAGATGGTCAGAGAAAAATGTAATAGAACAATATCTCCCAAAGCAAAAACTGAAAGAGAGGCTGACCAAATATCCTGCTTCGAATGTAAATGAGCTTCTCACTTATCCTGAACATGTCCAGGCTTTGAAGATTTGTTTTGCACTGAGGCTGGGTAAAGGATTGCTAGTTAAGGAACTGCGACATGCTAGTAAAGTACTTGGAGTAGTTGCTTGGGTGCTTCTCGATCTGTAATCTTGCTTTTCACAGTTTTATGGTACATGCCTAGGTTACCAGAACATATGTGCGCACCCAAGGTAGCTGTGTATAAGCAAAGACCACTAATGACTTCACAGATGTGAATGTGTGTCTTGGCCCTTCTGTTCAATACTACAAAGGCAGAAGGAAGTGATGCTTGCTGTACAGCTTGGCATTGTTTGAGGTCCTGAACAGGCTGGTAGATTTCTACCTGAAGTGCTCTGATCTCTTCACATAGATTAGAGTTCTGCCTCAGCCTTAGGGAGGAGGGCTTGGAAAACCAGAAAACTATAAATAAACCAACATACCAGTGGTTGTTGTCATTAAAGAGTTTGAGTCATGTTCTTGGCAGTACCTTCTGGTTAGCCCTTGCCTCTTGCTGATCCTCTGTTCCCTCTGTCTCCCATTCATACAATTATCTGAGCCTTAGACTAATCTACTGCTACTACAGTTGCTCTAGTGGTCCTCAGTTAACAGTACCTGTTCTCAGGTGTGTGGTGTTAGGCCACTTATGTAGGCTTAGACACTAAACTTCGAGGAAGAAAACAGTCCTAGAATCCTGGCTTTTTTTTTTTTTTTTGAGGGATCAATGACATGGGTGGTCAAGAGAACTTCTTGCCAAGAGTCTCTCTTATTTAAAAAAGTTCGGGGGTCCCATCTAACTTTTAGTAGAGACACTCTAAAGCAGAAGGTGTTGCATGGGGCAAAGCAGATACTGGACTACTGGTTTGGTAGGCTACTGCATTCTCCTAACGTAGTAGAGGGTGCATGGACTCTTCCCTGTCTCTCTTGTGTGTGTGTATTGTAATCTGGAAAGGGGAAGATGTTGTTTATTGCTATTGAATTTGTCTAGCATGGCACCTCAATCTAGCGAATAGTCTCCTGGAGAGTTTGGTATGAAATAAGGTAATGGTGGGCTTGGTACCACCATTTAGGCAAGGGGGGGAGGGGTAGGACAGGACAGAAAATAATTCCTGAAAGATCAGTTTGAGGTTGGAGAAAAAGTCCTTTCCAAAAAGTACTTGACTTTTAGGGCATGAAGTAGAACAGGAAAGTTGTAAATAAAGGCAGAGGTGGCAGAAGCTGTGTTTTTAAGGCACTTAGCTTGGGATTTGAAGAATGACACATGAGGATTTTCAATCTGAGGTTAGAAAGGCAAAATGTGAATTGCCCCAGCAAGTACCTGGTAAATGAGTTGGTCCTCAGGAAACCTTGCTTCACTATAGATATGCTTCTCCCTCATTGGAATGCATTGTTTTGCTGACATGAACAGTTTTTATTTCAGTTTGTACTTCATAAACGTCTTCTCCTTTTTTTTTATTTTTACAGTATGATTTCTGCCGGTTTACTGGTTGAAGGTTGTAAAGTTGAAAAACCTAAACTTAAAACACTTATTAGTTCCCTGCTAGAGAAATATGGCTTTGCAGAGGTAAGCTGACCAAGCTCCAGGGTACAGGGGCAAACAGAGCTGGGGAGATTTACGGTTGATAACACTTGTGGTCTCATTCAGTTTCAGACTTGTAAGGTTCATCACTGTAGAAATGCCTTTGCTTGTTCAATGATCCACAGTTCTGGCTGGAAAATAGTCTATTCTGGTGACACGATGCCCTGTGAGGCTTTAGTCAACATGGGTGAGTAAAATGCATTGGGAGTAAAAGTGAGCTAGAGTTTCTTTGCAAAAGGTATTTAGGCTATTACTAAAAGACGCTGATAAACCTTCTCCAATCTACTCCAGCTAACTTCAATGTTACCTATGCCTGAGTGGCCTTGGGAGGAGTTGTGTGCTCCAAAAAGAGGCTATCAAACTGAATACATACACTTGTTGTTTGTGAACTAGTGAGTTCTACTACTTTGTAGCAAATGCGAAATACATTTGCCAAGTGACTTAACATGAATTCTTTAACAGAGCACTTTGTGATATGGTCTCTTTTTTTTGTGGATTTACTGCTGGAAATATAGGGAGGTGAGGTATGAATGTCCCCTAATGAGCATGATGGGTGTACGCTTAGTGAAGAGTCCTGCTCTTTGCAAGTCGTGTGGAGTTCTGCATCAAGAATACTAAATATATGGTCTTACACAGGGAAAAATGCTACACTGTTAATCCATGAAGCAACATTGGAAGATGGCTTGGAAGTGGAAGCGATAGAGAAGATGCACAGGTAGAGTACCTCTGGGGGATTATTGCATATAAGGCTACTTGCTTCCAGAAAGGAGATTCTGGCACAGGGAAGCTATTCAGAAATTTTCACCTCGAGCTATATACAGTTATTACTCTAAAGATAGAATAGCTCTGAGTGGAAGTGAGGGTTCCTAGATACAACTCCTAGACTTGGGATTGAGCTAAGGAATTGGATCATTTAGCTTTCTGTCCTTGTGTGTGCTCAGGCTCAGCACTGTCCAAGGCTAGTTCAAAGCTGACTTGAGGTTTGAGAAACAGTATTATGAGATACTGAGTCTTGTCTGTGGAGTAGGCTGTTACCCCTCTGCTTTCAGTGCTGTTAATTTTGTTGAGTTCTTGTGGTTCCTTTGCAGCACAACTTCCCAGGCAATAGAGAGTGGAATGAAGATGAATGCCAAATTCATTGTGTTAAATCATTTCAGCCAACGGTATGCCAAAATTCCACTATTCAGTGAAGACTTCACTGAGAAGGTTGGAATTGCATTTGACCACATGCAGGTAAGTTAGGAGCTTTTGAGGCAGGTTTTCAAAAGATCTTGCATCTATTCTATGTAGGGACCTCTTGAATACTAGATTGTCTTGAGTACTTTGCTATATTAATGATGTGTGCTTTTGCCCTGGATAATAGACTTAAAAAAAAAAAAAACTTTCTGAGTAAAGTAAGTGGGTTTTCCTGGTAGCTTTTATGTGGAGACAAGAATCTTGCTCAGATAGGCATGTGCTGTTTGTTGGATAATGAGAGTAAAGTTTTCAGTAAACTGCAGTAAATATGTTCAGGCAAATTTGACAGTTTAGAAGGTGCCTGGAGGAAATTCTTCTGCATCTGCTCTTACAGAATCACAGGTGTGATGGGAGGATGGTCTGGAAGGGACGTTGGGAGGTGACTTGTTTATTCCAACCACCTACACAATGCAGGATAATCCTAGCCAAGTTCTTGTTTAACCTGCTTTTAAATTTCCTGTGATGGAGATTCTACAGGCTCTTTGATGTTTAACCAGAAAGTTCTATCTGACATCCAAACCAAATTTTTTCTTTTGCCATTTAAGGCCATTATTTCTTGTCCTGTCCCCTGTGGCCACAAAAGTTGATTACCAGCCATTTTGTAACAACCCTGTTTGAATTTGTTTTGTGCTGTTGCCAGTCATGGAGTAGCAAACCTAGATGAGCTGATGTGGTAAGCATAGGTTTGATAGTAAAGGACCTGAAATTTTGCAAGGGCTACCTTGTGCTTAGTGGAACACATCACCTTTTTGGTCACAGCAGTATTAGACTGGGTACCTCCTTCTGTTCTGGTTCTGCCCCCATTTCTGTACAACTGCCCTCTGTACCAGGCTGGCAACAACTTTACAGCCAGTAATGTTTTGTCCAGTTACATTGGCATAAAAGCCAAGTGGAGGAATGTGGAAAGATAACACTTTTCTCTGTCACTTGAACAGTAAGGACTAAAAAGTCACATTTTGGTGGCTGCTAATGGAAACTAGAATAGACTCATAAGAAGGTGATGCTGAAACTGGGTGAAATGCAGACAGCAAAAGTCTTAGCCCAAGCATTTGTTTGTTTTCATTATTGCACATGCTGCTAATAATATGTTCGTGAATAATGAAAACTGACTGGGATATACTGTTTGAGATCCAACTGAGTAGAAGTCAGAGGTGCACTGATATTGGATCAGCACTGATAATGGGAAAATTAACATTATCGTCAACTGGCTTTTTTTGGCTGATAATGTCACTGATAAATGTTGTGTGCCGGTGCATAGCTGCAACATGCATGCGGCCAGGAATGCTGCTGGGCATGGTGAGAGAAGGAGTGGGGCAGGGGCAGGCGCTGCCCAGCCAGGGTGTTGAATGGGTCCCTGAGATGTGATGTGGGATGGAGCTGCACGTGGCTCCCCCTTAACGCCAACCCTGCTCAGGACACTCCGCTCTGCTGCCTTTTCTTGGGAGCCCTGTATTGCAGGGTGGGCAGGGGATGCGTGGAGTGCGCTGAGGAGGGCTGTTGCTAGGAGAGGTTTGTGGGGGCCAAAGCCCCCCCAAAATTCCTCATAGCCACCCCTCCCAATGCTGCCACTGCTGCCTGCCCTGCGCAGCTGAGTCTGTCCTGCCCCAGTCCCTCCCACGCCATGGGGGCTTTGGTTTGCCCTGCCTTCCCTGACTTACTGGCAGGATACCGCTCTCCATTTTGCCTAGCTGCATTCCTGTAAATCAGTTATCAGATCCATACTGTCCGTTTTTTTTTGTTTTGTTTTTGTTTTTTTATTATGGCTGGTTAATAATCTGCTATTGGTATAGGTTAAGAAAATCTTTATTGGTACACCTAGTAGAAGTGTATCAGGGCTATCTTATTTTTAACAGTGACTTTTTATAGAAATGTCCTTTTTTTTGTGTTTTTTTTTTTTTTGTTTTTGTTTTTGGGTTGTTTTTTTTTTTTCCTCCCCCATCTGTTAACTTTTTTTAGTATACTTGCTCATTAGGAGGTACCAACTGCTAAAGCAGTAGTCTCCAACCTTTTTAAGTAGGAGGTCACTTTTGGAATTTTAAAAGCAACCCAAGATCTAGCTGCTTCTCCTCCCCCCCCCCCCCC